TTCCAAAGATATGGGGCAAAAAATGCCAAAAACGATAACTCAGTTTTTAAGAGAACGGAGCTTCCGATTTAAATAATTCAAAAAACATTTTACTTGTATGAACTGATGATGAAGAACTGATCAAATTTTCATTTAGGCAGGTCTAGCGGTTTCGAAGATCTAGTAAAAAAAGTAAAAAATAAAGTCATTTTGCGGTCAAAAATGATCATTGGACATATGCACATCAAATTATCAGATACTTTATAGAGATTTTAACAATTAGTATAAATTTTGTTTACATTCCTATGTAAACCCTAACCAATGTTTATCCGTTTTATGCAGTTGAAGCAGTACGATTGCTTTGAAAAAAAGTTCAGAATTTCCAAAATATTTCGAAATAAATTTTTCTTCAATGAGCCTTTTTTTCAAAAGAAAGTAAATTTTTGTCAAAAATTTATAATTTCTCAAAAATCTAATTTCTTCAGAGTAATTTTTTAACTTCCCGTAGGGCAAGTTATAGTAATCGCAAAAAAATCGAAAATGAAAATTTTTATATATCTTTACGTTTCAGAGGTTTCTGAACATTTTGGCATACCTTAGAAAAAAATGGATGTATGTGTGTGTGTGTGTGTGTATGTATGTATGTATGTATGTGCGTGTGTGTATGTATGTGTGGATACAAATTTTCGTCGACGATTTCGGGAACACAAATCAACCGATTTGAATAATTCAAAAAGCATTCGATTCGTATTGATAAGGAGACGTGCTGATTAGTTTTTGGCGAAGCAGATCCAGCCGTTCCAAAGATACGGGGCAAAAAGTGCCGAAAACGGTAACTCAGTTTTTAAGAGAACGGAGCGTCCGATTTGAATAATTCAAAAAACATTTCACTTGTATTGACAAGATGAAGAATCGATAAAATTTTCATGAAGGTAGGTCTAGCGGTTTCGGAGATATGGAGGAAAAAGTAAAAAAATGAGCCATTTGGCGGTCAAAAATGATCATTAGACATATGCACATCAAATTATCAGATATTTTATAAAGATTTTAACAATAAGTATAATTTTTTTTTTACATTTTTATGGGTTCCGTACCAATGCTTATCCGTTAGACGGCGGCGCGGCAGTTGCGCGCTTTGACATTTTGTCTCTATGCAGATAAAGCAGTACGATTGCTTTGAAAAACAGTTCAGAATTTCCAAAGTATGTCAAAATGAAAAAAACATTTTTTTTTCAAAAAAATTTAGTTTTCAAAAAAAAATTTTTTTTTCAAAAAAAGTAATTTTTTGTCAAATTTATAGTTTCTCTCTAATTTTTTCGAAGTAAAATTTTTTCAAAAATGTTAATCGTTTTTAAAAAAATAATTTTTGGTACGGGAAGTTCCAGCAATTTGCCTTAAGGCACGATGCCTTAATTGCCTTAAGACAGAATTCCACTTACAGCTAGTTTACAAAAATGTTAATCTTAAAAAAAAAATGGTACGGGAAGTTCCAGCAATTTGCCTTAAGGTACGATGCGCCTCACTGGTTATAGATACTCATAACAAATACGTACTTATGATAACATATTTTTTTGACGTTTGTTTGCTTTCTAAGTTAGGTTTTATATATAAAACGCCTAACTGCACAGCAAATACATAGCATTTTCACAGTTTTTAGTACTAAAAAGAACCATAACATAGTGTTTCCATAACAACGCTATGTTATGGTTTATTTTATCAGAGAATTGGATTCATTTTAGATGGAATGGGATAGCCGTAACTTTTTATTGTTGGTTGTGTATAATCACTGGTATGATATGCAATTCAACTCATCATTTTGTTAAGCAAAAATCTATTGTGCAATGTTCTTAGAAGCAAACTTCTCTTTATTCATTCAATATTATACAACAATCAGAGTTATTGACAGAAGTTTTAGAGCCATATATAAGGCTAAATCACACATAAAAAAAATAATCGCTGAAAGAACTGAAGAAAAAGAAAAAAATAATGATGAATTAATAAATAAACATAAATAAGAACGAATTACAAATAAAGAAATATAAATAAATATTAAATCCACAATATAAAAATATTCTTTAGGCTCTAAAGGACAGTTTTTGTTCAGTTTTATACTATTATTACCGATTTGACAACATGCCAGTTTATTATCCAATATCGATAGAGATATGTTTGACGAAGCTGGTATTCTAAACAAAAATAAATTTTCTTATCAGATTATCTTAGCCGGTTGCTTTGAAGCATATCTTCAAATAGAAGCAAAGCTATTTTTAGAATTTTGTTTACTTCGTTTGAAATTGGGACAGTTTGAAATTACTCTATGTCGCCTTGATAATGATTTTTTAAATTAGATAATAAATATATTCAACCGTTCTTTTAAAGCTTACAATTTGGGAAATAGTTTAAAAGAATTAATTTTTTCGTGGAATAAAGAATTTTTGATAGTAGAAATTTTGGCACCCATTTCAATGTAACCGCGAGATGCAAAGAAACACCAAATAATGTGTGCAGATACTGCTTTCTTTGTATCATCAAATAAGGCAAACAATTTGTTAGCTGAATATCAAAAAGATGGAAATAAATATTGAAAAGCTTATGCATGTACACGCTATTTTATCTCGTGGGCATCTGCACTATTTGTTCCATGCTAACCTGTGATCTACACAGTCTGAACGACTCGAAATTGGACGCGCCATGCGCCTGCTAAGCGCCCGATGACGCGCATTACTTTTGGCGCTGCCAATTTGCACGTCCTTCGATGCTGCGGCCTTGACTGCCTTTTTCGCGATCAGCTTTACGTCCGTGTTATTATTATTAGTTTTTTTGACAATTGAAAGTCGTCTAAACATATACAAAGCATAATTTATATCTTCATCGAATGCCTGAAGACTGAATAAAATTATGTGCCAGAAATTCAAATGCACTGATAATTTTGTACATTTGATACATTTTTACATAGACTCAATTAGAAACTTTGGCAATATAGGCATTTTATCGTGGTTTGTTTAATACCATTGTAGTACAATATATCTTTGGTATAATTATAATACATTATGATGCATTTAACAATATAGTAGAAGTAGTATTTTTATATTATAATAATATGAGAATGAAGAAACTTACACAAATCTTCCGAAGAAAATGCATTTTATATAATTTTGGGTTCTGACCTCATTACAATCAGTTAACAAATTCTGGTAAAATATCTACATTTTATAATTATTTACTTTTACATAAATATAATTCATCTCTTTGAATTTCCTCCGATGTTTTATATCCCATCTGGTGTTGTAAATGATATGTACATTAATACCAAAACCGGAAATTTCAATTACCACTAGCGCCATCCATTTTTTCCTTCGAAGATTTATTGCTCTTAGACCGCATGTGTGAAGTTTTTATTTATTGAAACTCTGTTTTCTATTTTTGGTTGTTTTCAAGATAAAATAATTTGGTAAGATAATCACTTTGCTCAATATTCATCATTACATTCATTGAACTCAACATTTGCACAGTGAGTAATTAATTGAAGCAATTCGACGTTTAATTGAATATTAAATGACTCGAGGTTATTACCTTATAAACAGATACATAAGCTAGGTATAATTTGCAATAGGTAGAAAATATAGATTGACGAGTGAATTATTACCCCAATATAAATAATAAATTTATAGATATTGAAATTGCAGAAGATACAAATATGTACTCGCAGAAGTAATAAGGGATGCATTTTCAGAACTAATTGATATTAGATTAGAAAGTAGATTTGAAAAAATCTCAAATTATTTTTCTCAATCCTATATTTAATGATCGTAGGTCTGAGTAAGTAAAATCAATATATCAATATTGCGATATACATGTTGACAAAAATGTTCTAATTTTTGTACATGGAAATAATGTTGAAATGTATGTATTAATTCTGTAAAATATTCTTCATGTTATTTTCAATTTAATTTTATTCCAATGTTTTAACAGTGGGATTTTATTTGTAAATTTTATTAATATTAGTAATAATAAATATTGAGTCAAGTATTACCATTAACCGCCATTTGTTTATATTTAACCATTCATGCTATCTGTTTGTAAATGTCTGGTCGTTGTAAAAATACGTGTAAAATAATACGAATGTAATAATAATTACAATATTAATTGCGAATAAATATAATTACGAATAAAAAACATTTGAAATGATTGTGAGTTGAAATCCGTTAACAAATTTTCTGTTACTTTTCGGTTTTTATCTTTTTTTGTTTTGTTTATAGCACCAAACTAACAAATATTGTATAATTTAGCAATTCTGATTTTTAGTGAAACTTTCAAGGCATTTTAGTACTTTTTTAGGTCTTCGAGATTGGATCAAGTATGATAATTTTAAACCATTAGTTCAACAAATGGTCTTAATTATTGTAAACTTAGGTTTACTGTGTTATTATTTTTTACTGTCGAAAGATGTTATTTACAATCACGGTAAAATGAAAAAGAATTATCCACAAATGCGAAAAATGGTCACAGTTTGACCAAAGCTCTAGGTTGTACTTAAAAGCTCATATCTTTCAAATGCATGGGATTAATTTGTTCTTGGCACTAGCGATGAAAATGCTATGGCGAGAGCACAAGTAGTCTAATAGGCAAGACGTGACAACTAATATAATACATGTAAATTATATTTATATTTATAATATGTAAAAAGTGAAAAAGGATATTATGATAAAAATTGATTTATCACCCCGTTTTAACTTTACGTAGAGTTCTGGGACATATGATTTATTTAAAAAAAATGTGCTCAACTAGCAATAAGAAGATTGATAATTTTATCAATGCTACATTGTTACAATCTTTAAATTTATGAACGAATGCAGTTTAAATTGATTTAACGAGATTGCCAGGTCGTTAATCGAGAACTTGTTCCGGTTCTGATTTAATGCTAATTCGATTTTCCTTTAGAACAAGCTATAAAATTTCAACATAATTGCCTTCATGTATATTATTATAAGCTTCAAGTTTAAGTTTATTAATTCTCGCAGGTGGACCAGCGCGACGTGCCCGGCATTGACTGCGCTCATCTCGCGATGGACACCGAGGAAGGGGTCGAGGTCGTCTGGAACGAGGTGCTGTTCTCCGAAAGGAAGTCCTTTCGCAAACAGGAGGAGAAGATCCGGACAGTCTTCGAGAATCTCACGCTGCTCGCCCACCCGAATATTGTCAACTTCCATCGGTATTGGACGGACACGCACAACGAACGACCTAGGGTCAGTATTAAAAAAAACTAGTTGGTTTGGTATTTAGTCTTGAGGCAAGTTACATGAACTTCCCGATATGTGTAATTAATCGACTTAATCAATAAAAAATAAATTAATTTATGAGGCATTAAAAGTATTCCGAGTGGAATTATTACAAACATTTGAAAACGAACGATCACGTTAACTCGGAGTATTTTCTAAAAACAAATGTTCAAAAATCAATAATTTTTATAATCCATAGGACTTTAATGGTTTAGTATGTTCATTAAGACCGAGTACTCTATCGTTATACCAAGTAAATTGTCTAATTTTAATTTTAACAAACGTCAAAAAAACTAATCATTTTCTCAAACTTTGATGAATTTTTAAAATTAAACTACTGGTCGGCCGCAGTATTTCAGTAAGTTCTATAAGACCATGATATATATCGCCAAAAAAAGTTCCATAAAAATCGGCTTCAATTTTTTTTTTCAACAGTAAAATACAAAAAACGGCTCGGTAGATTTTCACCTAAAACTAATCAGCATCATTCCCTACTAATATCTTTCGAACAGTTTTTGATTTTTTAAAATCGGTTTGGTAGTTTGAGGTTAAATGTGGACGAAAAGTTTAACACTTTTTTTCAAATTACAAAGAAACGGCTTGGCAGATCGTCTCACAAAATTGATAAACGATAGTCTTCATTGAGATACATCAAATGGCTTTTAAATCCCTGAAATCGGTTCAGGCGTTTTTGAGGAAACGTCGATCAAAGGTCTAACTTTGACAAATGCCAAAAAAACGATAGTAATTTTTGCAAACTTTGAAGAATTTTCAAAATTAAACGGCTTGTCGCAGAGCCGTAATATTTTAGTATGATCTAGAAGACTATGGTATATACCGTCAAAAAAAATCATAAAAATCGTCGAATTTTTTTTTTATAAAAACTTTATTAGAAGAAAACGGCCCGACCGATCTTTACCAAAAACTAATCAGCACGATTCCCAACCAATATCTATCGAATGGTTTTTGAATTTTTCACTTTTCTGCAATTTACAAAGAAACGGTCCGGCCGATCGTCGCACAAAACTAAGAAACGCTAGTCCTCATCGAGATACAGCGAATGGCTTTTAAATTTTTGAAATCGGTCCATCCGTTTTGGAGAAAACGTCTATTTACGGCAAAAAATCTGTTCACACACACACACATACACACACACATACACACACACACATACTTTTTTCCAAATGTGATCTCATTCGGTTCAGAATGGCTTGAAACGTCGAGAAAACATAAAATTAGCGAGTCGGATTTTTTGATGAAAACATAAACTTCTCCTTCGGGAAGTTAAAAAAAGAAATACTGTAGTACTGTTTTCCATTTATTAAATTAAATTGAATTAAATTTTATTCTCTTTGGAAAGCCCTGTAAAAATAGTGTAAGCGGTTCGATACCGTGCACCAAAAAGTCTTTTATCATGTAATAGTTGTATACATTTTCATTTGAAATTATATATATATATATATATATATATATATATATATATATATATATATATATGGCTTTTATGGAAGCGATATATGAATAACTTGGTTACTCAATTTAGGAAGGCTGTGAGCTACTGAAACTATTGAATAACGGTGTTCTTGTATGGCTAACAGTTTGTATACTGGTGATTCTTAGCGCGCTAAATATAAAAACCTTCGTCAGACAGGGTTCAGCCCTGTACATCTTGGTCGCCTAGGCGTTTTAAAATTGTAAAAACAAAAACGAAAATTAAACTTGTTCCTGTGAGCTTCAAATTTTTATACCATTTAATTTATTCATTGAGAAGCTCCAATTCAAATTGCCAGATGATTTCAACCTGCACAACTACCTGCCAGACGATCCACAAAGTTCAATTTTATGAGCAAGATATGTATGCAGTAATATAAACTATAAATAAAATTTATATAAGTGTTTTTCTAAGCGATGTTCACGAGTCATGTGCAATAACAGGCGATTCTGTCCAGCCTAAGCCCTTACCAGGCGATGGTAAAGAATTTTTACTAAAGATGCTATGGCAACAGCACAAGTAGTCTAATAGGCAAGACGTGAAAACTAATATTAAACATGTAAATTATATTTATATTTTATTTATTTATATTTATAATATATAAAAAGTGAAAAATGAAATTATGATAAAAATTGATTTAATTATTCAGAATAAAATATTCTATCCTGGGCGACCATGATGTACAAGACAGAAGCCTGCCAAACGTTGGTTTTCGTACTTATTACACCAAGAATTAACAGTACAAATTTTTTTAGCCTTACAGGCACATCGTTGTTCAAAAGGTTCAAAAGCTCTTGGACCAAAATAAGATAATTGTTAATGTTTTCGATACTAATTGCCTTTCTTGAAATAGAAATAATACTGATTGTATCTTTGCCAATGAAGTGTAACAAAAATTGGTCAGGATGCATGATCAAATTTTGATGGTTGCTAAATTTCGTAGAATCTTTAACGGTCTTGGTCCAGGATCGGGCGCAATTCTGTGAAAAAGGCAGAGCCTATCCACATTTTTAAAAGAGGGTATGCCTAATTGTGTTTTTGCTCCTGTATATGCATTTGTACTCTCGTAGTAATATAATCTTTATGTAGTCTACTACTACTGAGAACAGTACCGAATGTAAATATAACTGACGTTTTGTATGATTACTAGAAGATAATATAATCTTATATCAAATGAACTGTTTCGGTTACTACTATTGGAACTACTATTGGAATTTCGGTTACTATTATTGGAACGGTTTTCAGAAATGAATGATTTTTATATTCAGTGCGCTTTTGAGACCTGTCGATGATGGTAGCCAGCTCAACCAAAAATCCTTGCCAGTAAACGGATTTCTTGATAGGAGCTTACGTCGGTTTTCAATTTGCACCATCGAGCAATTTTTCTATATATATTATGCCCCACTTTAGATAGTATCAATATATGGAAATAAATTATTAATGGAACAGATGTTCCATTGTTTCCGATATTAGCTTATCGCGGTGACACAGTATATCTTAAACCAGGTTGTTACGATGTTTATGGTTTTTTCCATTCTTGCTTATGAAGCAAGTGATATATATATATATATATATATATATATATATATATATATATTATTGATTCAAGATATATTTGTGGTAAAAATTAATTATACACTAATTTTTTCAAATCATGATCAATTGTCAAATTAAGACATTTAAGTTCTGTCCAACAAACGGTTCTAATTTATCTTATACTTATTTTTCTGCATGTTTTTCAAATCAAACTAGATCAGCATTAAACTATGGCACTAAATATAATTAGCTCACATTCTTTCAATTAAGTCTAACCTAAAAGCGATTTTGATTACGAAGGATTAAATATTTTTTGAATATAATTTGTTAAATAAAGATTTAGTCTTGCTTTATAATTTTAACAATTTATAACTTGACAATTTGGTCAACATAGATTAACAAGTATAAATGGTGGTCAATGCTTTACATGATAAAACATTTACGCGAGCTAATAATTTTTGGTAGTTCTTTTTTATGTTTGTTTTATAATCCCATGTCGTTACACTTTATTCAACCGGTTCATACTTTCAAAAAACAAGAACAATTTTATATTTTCATGTGTACTTTGCCGACTTCAGTAGGTTTATATCATAAAATTATATACCAAGAAATATAAGGCGCTCAATACATAATATTATATAATAACATAGTTATATTGACATAATTATTCTTAATTAAAATGTAAAAATATTTTTAGATAACGTATAATATATTTACAGGAAAACTTATATCTTATTAAACAGATACAATAATTGTATAGAAACATACAATTATGAAAAACATTTACTCTGATCTAATAGTATTGGTACGTATATTAAATCTTTCGCTACAGCAGTGTTTTCCGCAGGAGTGACACTGCTGTACGGAACAGAGAGCGACTAGTAGCGCTGCTGAACGGATTTGGCATAACTATATTTGCAAGATTTTTAATCATTATCAATTATACGTTTAAAGTACTAAAAAAGATTATAACAACTTAGAGTTTTCTATAATTTAATTCTCTATAATTTAATAAATATTGGGGATGGGGTCTATAGGCGACACCCGTACACAGGTAGTCATGTGGATGTCGCCTATGGTAAACATTATGGATGGCAAATGCGATATATCAAATGCGACTATAAAATCCTTCTAAAAAGGTCTAAATCCTTCTAAATTAGTTAAGTATTCATGGCAAAGACTATTAACTACTAAAAATTATCTATCTTTTTGTTTGAATAGTTACGGTATGAAATATTTTTTTCATGTAACGAAATATTGTCACATGTATAATTTGCTCAGCTTTTCATAATTATATTTTTTCTGTCAAATGTAAAATATATTTGTGCAAACAATTAAGACAACTATTAAGAAGGTGGAAGCTCAGTAAACGCCCTTTTCAGTGAGGGAGTTCTGAAAAATGTTTAGAGTTTTCTTCGTAAAAGTTTCAGTTTTCTGTATTGCTATTTGTATTTCCTCTTACTTATATTTCTATTATAGTGTTTAGATTTTTGTATATAGTATTTGAGATTTATTACGTTTGATTTTTCTATTTTAGGTTATATTCATAACGGAATACATGTCCTCTGGTTCGTTAAAACAATTCCTGAAAAGAACGAAGAGGAACGTCAAGCGATTACCACTGCCAGCATGGAAGCGTTGGTGTACACAGATACTTTCTGCCCTCAGGTGAGTGCTTCGTTTTCAAAACGTTGTTTAATTATGAACGGTGGAAATAGTTTTAATCGCACATAATTATTAAATTTGATGATTGGTTATATTAAGGAAAATGAGTATTAAATATTTTTGAAAATTCAGGCACATCGTATCCTTTATAATGTATTTCTAAAATTATTTATTTGATCATTTACAGTTTAATACTCATTTGCCTTGATTTTAAGCTTACTTGCTTTGTTTGTGCAGGGTAAAAATTAGTTTTTGTTTAAAAGTTTTCCCAGAACATTGATAGGTTAAAGATTTATTATTACAAACTTTAGAAAGAGAGCATATATTCTTTATCAATGTTGCTAGTTGTATAATTTTTACCCTGTTGGCGCTGTACTATTAATTAATAATGAAACTGATCTAAAACATTTTTATATGCGCTAATCACAAATCGAACTATAATATTTTATTATTAATACTATGTGTATTATTTTTACATTATAACTTGATGTAAATATCATAATGTTGAACAATACAAATATAAACGCAGTAATTGATTGTCATTAGTGCATATTTTGTATAGTGCTTTCCATCAGGTCGAAGGTGTCCTCAGTGCGGTCTGCCTATGGAGCAATCAACAAACTGATTTAAATTTGTCCTGTCTTATCATATGTAGACACCTGAAGTTCAATATATGTTTACGCGAAATTGACTCGGATAGAAGTTGTTTCCATTTCTTTTTTTACTGCTTATTTTTATTGATTTTGATTGAAGATTAATTTGCCTCTAATAACTTTTATTTTGAACTTATTCGAAATTATGCATTTTTATGCAAGTTGTTTCAGTAAAGGTTATCCAATTGGTTTTGCATTCGTTTTTGGAACTTTTGTAGCAATTTTGGATCTCATGTGCCTGCGCCAACATAGTTTTTAAATTATAATAGTAATATATTTTGTTATAGTTACTTGCATTCCTGTTCACCGCCAATTATACATGGCAATCTATCCTGTGATACAATATTTATTCAACACAACGGCTTGGTCAAGATTGGATCAGGTAAAACTTTATTCTGCACACACACAAAACCAAACTTATATTGGCGCCTTTGACTGCATCGAACTTGGTAAATTCGTTGCGTCGAACGGTGTTTGTATTGCTGTTTATTATATGCATTTCGAAAATTGATCGGGTTCAAAGTTAACCAGTTTTTGACTAACGTTTATCTTTTGTATTATGTTTCAGTCGCCCCGGATTCGATCAATGATCATGTCAAAACATGCAGGGAGCGATTAAAAAATATCCACTTCGTTGCACCTGAATTAGGAGGTGAGTAGTTTATGTTCTGACAATTCTTTTATTAAGAGTACAAATGACGACAAAAGTGTTGTTCAAGAAAATGTTTTTCATATTGAAATAAATGAAGTTATTTAATAATTTAATTTCGAAATATATTGTTAACTTATTCTGTCGCCATTCTAAATAATATCAAATTTATTTAATTTAGTTAATATATGAATGTGATTTAGTTAGTTTTTTTTAGACATTTTTCTATTTTTTTCATATGAATGTGTGATCATACTAACATGTGTTTTTTACAGATGATTGAAAGTAAGCAATTTTATATATAAACTGTACATACAAACATGCATATTATATATATATATATATATATATATATATATATATGCACATAATTGAAGTGCATGGAATATCCTGATTTCACCCCACGACTTATTACAAAAAATTATTTTTGTCTAGACTGTTCAAACTCCGAATGACTTCATCCATTTATGGATTGTTTATATGAATTTAAATAATAATATTAATATATTAGTATGTGCGTTCTACTACCTAAGTATTGACAAATAACACAAACTATTTCTCTCATATTTATAAAATATTGAAACAATTCTTTGTTTATTTAGATCCTACTCAAGCGACAGATGTATTCGCTTTCGGAATGTGCGCGCTCGAAATGGCCGCTCTGGAAATACAGGGCAATGGTGATGTGCCAACTTCATCAAACTCATCTTCAACTGGGTCGTCAACGACAGACCCTGCAATCGTTAATGATGAGAATATTAGGTAAATTTAAGCGTCTTTGTGAAAGATCTGTTACATTAATGATATTACATTTCAACATTAAATTATTTAGAATCTAACCTAAAAGGCATTTAATATTTTTAATTAAAATATTACTACTATTAATATGACTCTCTTGTGACAAATACTTTTATTCTAGAGTTTCATACTGCCTTATTTCCATCTGTATTTTTTTATATTTTTCTAATTAATGCATTTATTTTCCACAGGCGAACAATAGACACATTAGATGACCCTTTACAAAGGGATTTTATAGCAAAATGTCTTGCATCCGATCCAGCGATGAGGCCTTCCGCTCGAGAACTCCTTTTCCACCCACTTTTATTTGAAGTGCATTCACTGAAGCTGCTGGCAGCTCATGTGCTCGTCAATACTTCTGGTATTATTAGTATTGTTATATATAATCGATAAAGTTGTCACATTAAAGTATTTTGGTTTATAGTTTATTTTAAATAATGATATAATATCATGCGCGACTATAATTATAAATTCTTTTTCTAAATTAATTATTGTTAAAATTTAGGTTCATCCGAAAGTATAATGGATGATGTTGTACAAAGGTTATATGGTCCAGATACAGTAATGGCCGAAATCCATTCAAAAGGTGGAGAATCAAAACAGTGGAAAATATCTGATGTGCCTATAGCGGAAAAGTTAGAAAAATTTGTTGAAGATGTCAGGTATGTAATGATTAATTTTTTTTTCATAATCATTTCAAAAAACATAGGTACAATAACATGATTATTTAATTTCGGATAATAAAAATTTGAATCTAAATGCATTATAGGCAGTATTGATCTCTCTGACATCGTTGCTAAAAATTTAAGTAAAATAATTTGGGCTAATAAGTTCAAAATTATAAATTGTTATAGGTGAATCGGATAATAAATTGTAATTTTACTATAATATTAAGTGGATATTGTGACTTTAGATGAAAATTTGATAATTTTTGGTATGATCATTGTTTGGTAATAAATTGTCAGTAATAAACAAAACAATTGACTGCTTTTTTGACGTTTTTAATTGACGAGTTTGTTTTGTAAGACTTCTGTCGGTAGTTTAGATGTTACTTCTTTATAATATCAAGAATTTCACAGGTAAAGAGGTCCACTATAAACAGTTAATATGGGTAAAATATTATTATTGTCTGAATATTTTTTATTGATCAACATCATAGCTCATTAAATTATCATCCTAATCTTCTAACTTCTCTTTATGTATTTTGCATTGAATGTTCATATAATGCAATAAAATTCAAAATTGCTCTTATTGAATTCAAATATTTGTTTTCATGTGAAAATAGCACATTCCTGACATTGCTATATAAAAATAGAAAACAGGAAAACCGATCTCCTAAAGTGGAACTTTATGATCAAGTTTAATCACAAAAGCTCCGATTTCTGTTCAAAATTAAAAAAAAAAGATCAATAATTGACTTAATTCTAATTTAACCAAATATTCTATTCAGCAATATTAAATTTTTATATATATAATTTTTCCTCCAGATACGGCATTTACCCCCTGACGGCGTTCATTTCGCGCACGCCGCCGCTACAGCAGCGAGGGCGAGCTATTTCTCCTGAAGCAGCTGATTCGGTTAAGTCTGTGACTCCAGAGCCGCTTGATGTCGAAATGAGGCGCATTGTCAATATGATATGCAACGTCAAGCCCAAGGAAGATGGCTGTGATCTCTTGGTAAGTAATAGTATATATATTACCACAAGTAATAATTATTCTCGTAGTATTGTTTTTATTTCGTTTGAAATTTTACAACGGTGCAGATCATACGAATACTAATTCATCTCCACAATGAAGTCGTTCTTATATTTGGTCTTATATTAGTCTAAGATATTTGTATATACCCTTATGCCTACCAACTCTTTATTTTTTGCATAAATGTATATTTTGTTATGCTATATGTAAAATTTTTATTCTGCTGCCGGGCATAAGCAATAAATCAAATTCCCTGGAGATTACCAAATAAAATGTATTATACAGAGTTTGTTTTTATGTAATAGATGATGTGATGTTTGATGCCCACATATCCTTGAATGCTAATAAATTTCTTAGAGATTACCAAATAATATATATTATACAGAGTCTATATCTAATTGATGATGTCTACATATTTTCGACTTTATTTTCTCCTTCCATGTTTGTTATCATGTATTATTATTCACATTTCTAAGCTTCTCCTTCCATGCTTGCCGATCATGTGCTTCTGTTTTCAACTCCCTGCATTTTTCTCATTTGTTAATCACCTGCATTCCTTTTCTTCCTAGTTCTTTTATTTTACCTCTATCGACGTCATGCAGCAGAGACTCTCTTTGCCATATGGGCCCAACCCAGTTTGCTTTTGTTATCACATAAGTGCTTAGCACTTCTTCATTTGATATCCTATTAATTCCCTTTATCTTCCCCATTGGTCTCCAACACCACATTTCAAAATCTTCCTAGTATTTCTTGTCTTAATTATTGAATATTGATATATATTATTTCTTAGTGAATGTTTATATGTGATGTGTAAGAACTATTGAATTATTGATAGCCTAATAACATTATTTTCTGATTTGTTTCAGATGACATTATTATTACGAATGGATGATAAAATGAACAGACAATTGACTTGTCAAATTTCATCTGATGATACAGCTTTAATGCTCTCTCAAGAGTTAGTACATTTAGGATTCATACATGAAGTAAGTTTGCTCACAGTTGAAGAAAGAAAACATATGAAGCATAGAAAACATTACATTTTTTAAAATGCTTAGTATAATGAACTATATGAGGAAACACAAATTAAATTTTTATGTAACCCCCATATAGCACGGTACTACATTTCATATTACACGGAACAACCGTACTATTTGAAACCAGTACTAGTACAAGTATAAAGATTGATTCCAAAAATTTAAATAAAATTAGCTATTATTCGCTCTTAATACAGATAAATATATTTATGGATTTTTAACTAGAAATAGTGCATACTGAATGAATTAAATGCTATTTTCGACGTCAAAAGGAAGTGCTGTTTCACCGCGAGCATTTAACATTTTTTATGGATTATAATCACATGTGAAATTTTATTTTAAATATTTGTATGACCTTTATTGAAATAGCATTCGAATTAAAAATGTATTGTATGCTGATTTCACTAATTTTAAATTAGATAAACTTTGTTTTTTATAAGTTTTACTATATTACTACATTAGAGTTTTGCTTAACTTTGTTTTTTATAAGTTTTACTATATTACTACATTAGAGTTTTGCTTAATTCTCGAACAGTGACTTAGTTAAATGTTATAAGAGGGAGGTTCTCAATTCTCAAACCTTGTTGGAGTGAATACATGCTATAGAAGTACCGGGTTGCAAGTGGTTTACCTTTATTTATATAGATGATCTTTACATACTTCATTACTATTAATGAATAAAATATTATATTTAAGTAGTAGAGAAGACTTGAATGAATAATTATTGTTGAAACAATTTTTCCAGACGGATCAAGATAAAGTCACATCACTCATCGAAGATGCATTGCGGAGTTGTGGAGCATCAAATGCAATTAGTAAATCACCTATAGAAGAGAAAAACGAGCCTCCATTACTAGTTCCCACAACGAGTTCACAGACAGCTGTACATTCGGCCAGTTAGTAATGGTGTAAACTTAGTTTTCTATACTTTTGTATAAACGCTAGGATACGGAATATTTACAACTCCGGAATTATATTGATGAATATTTCATATTTCTTTAGTTTTTATATGAGTAGTACCAGCGCAATACGACTTTGACCCCCGGGACTATATATATATAAGCTGTAGATTTTCGGTAGTGTTTACATATAAGAAAGAGTAGGGTTGGCAATTGTAGAATTGCAGGTATTGCTAGAACGGTGAGCAGTGAAAATATGGTGATACATATATTTAAAAGTTATGGTATACCAACTAACAGTCCAATATGTTTACCACATATAGCAATATCACCCGAATGAAACGCTTTTATATAGTTTTTTAAATTTCTTAATAATATGTAATTATATAAATCTTGTAATACATTTTTAATATTTTATTAATTAAGATTCATATTCTACAAGTCCATTCGTGGAGATTATGCAACTAAATATGTGCATTAAGTAATGTTAGTTACATTATACATATATATTTTTCAGCGAGGTAAATTCCAGTTTTATTTGATCAGAATTAAATAGTATTACTGAAAAATGTCATTTACAAATGCCTTTTTATGTCTATAATATGCAGTCCAACTTAATTGGTTATTAACTTTATTATTATTATTATTATTTTTTCATAAATTGTCCTAAATCTTAGACTGCCGTTACACAAGATTGCAGTCATATGAAACCACAATTTTTATGAATTTACAATATGGATGGGCTTGTAGTCTAATATTTTACAAAATTTAACATTATTTTATAATAAAAATCATATGATATATTTATGTTTCATTTTGCAGATATCGTTTATATTATTAATATGATGCTGCATTTTAATATCAGTGATGCAAATCAAGTCATTTCCAACACGTAATGTTATTAATCAGCCGTGTTTGTCTTATTTTTCCTATACTTTCTATGTACATTGCAGAAAATATTTATATTATTTATTTAATTTAAGTTAGAATAAGATGGCGAAACTCATGTATTGGTAGTGAAGTGTGTGCGCTGGTATACTAGCTTTAAATTGTTTCATAATAGGACTAGATTTTCTTTTACTAACCTCGTATTGTGATTGAATTTTTTTTAAAGTCTGCCTTTAGTCAATATTATAATTAAAGATTTTAAATTTGTAAATATATATCATTAGAATAGTATTTAATCAAAAAATTGATTTGCTATAAATTTGATGAGACTAAGAATAACCTCCATTTATTATTATAGGCGTGATTGATGTTGAATGCAAACAATAATTATTTTTATGAATGTGTGTCGAAAATCAAATAGCAAATTCCAGATATTCACACAACATGGCAAATGTTTCACAAAACCGACTGAGTCAATATTTATATAAGTATAGTTGAAATCAAAATTGCGTGTGATGCTTGCCAGATGATGTGTTTATAGGTGAAGTTTTGATAAATGATAACTAATGATCTTATTTATCAATATTACAATTGGATACATTCTAGTTAAAATTATTTGCAAATACTCCAACTTCAGAAATGACTTATTTCTTGCTATCGTGTAACTAATTATATTAAAGCATATTTAATTATATAAAACAATTGTTCAGATATTTTATTATTATTAAACAAAACATGTATACATGTTTCAAGCATAAATTAAAATGAAGTTAAAGTTTTATACCCTTTTTATTTTTTCCAAAGCATTATTTCTTACTTTTATACTCAGTTTTATTATACAACAATAAAATATTGTTCTCGATTACATTGTATTTAATTTCTTACCCTGTTCAATTCCATCCCATATACCTGTCCTCTATATCAAAACATGAATAGTAGATATCTATTTATTATCTAACTATATAATTTTTTTTTTTTTATAAATAAATAAAAATTTAAGAAGTGTTTTAATCAAACTTAACATCATTGAAACTGATTTGCCAGACAATTTTTCACACTACATTTTTTTTTTGAACTTATCGTTCTACATTATTTTTGGCATACAATTACTTGCAATCTAAGTAATAAAAATTCTTACAAAAGCAAAAATAATAAATGAGTATAAAAAACAGATTTAAAATTCATATTTATCTACTATCATGTTGAACGTCCAATTAAAAACTATTTTAAAATTACAAGCCTATAATCAAATATATTGCTCATTGTCTTTTTTTCTAGATACCGCCTTGCAAGAATTAGAAGAGCAGGAGAAATTACTGTATGAAATACAACAATCCATGCTATAATACAGGAATAAAAATAGATATGTATATATTAATTAATGTAAATATTGAATTTTATAAACAGACATTTTATGGGAAATGATATTCGATTTTAGAGATATGCATATGTTATTTAGTGAGTTTTTTAGAATACAAACTGTAAACAACAGAAAACTTACTTTTTTTTATTAATATCAAACTAATACCATATTTTTTTCTAAAAAGTATAATTTATATAGTATCTGTATCATATATTTCATAATACAAGTAATTATTTTTTTCATTTATTATGAATTAGGGATACAATTCCGAAATATTTATTTGATTATTCAAATTTATTTATTTAATCTGATTTCTTTACTTATTGCATCAATATTTTTTAATGACAAAGTTATACACACAATAATAATTGATATAATTTAAATAATGTTTTAAACTTAATTAATTACTTATTTAAAGTTAATTATTTTATAAACAATACCCTAATAAGTTTTTACTATAAAATACGCGATTGACCTTAGGTCAATATACTCTCCTTACGTCATATACTCTTCTTTTATCCCTGGACCTAACATTTAATTTTTAATGATATTGAATAAAATATAAGAAATATTATTTTAATGTTGATACATATAACTTTCCCAAAAGTGTAACATTATTAAATTTATCAATATTATTTTTTTCTCAATCAGCATTCTGTGGAATTTGAGAACATTGATTATGGCGATGTGAAATTACATTTGCTGTATGTAAGTATATAAACATTACATGTATTAACGTTTAGATAAATACAATATATTATATTTTTATTTTCAGGTGCAAATAGAAAGGCTGTAAGTTATATTCAATCTTTATTCATATGATCTACGAAACATCTACGATAGGGACGTACCTAGACAATATTAGAATACGATGTGTTCATGGAGACGTAGATAAAAAAGAGTATAAGGATAGAGAAGCTCAAACTTTCGTAAAGAAGAAAACAAATTTATTCCACTAAAATTTTAGCCAAAGATGCATTTACGAATCACAAATACGTCATCAAATATACTGAGTATATTTATGAAGACTTGGTAGAAAACATATCAATGATTTAGCGTTTCAATTTTAAATTTATATGTTTATTACTTATCATATACATACACTGTGTATTTCATGAGCATACAGTCCTTCATGAAAGTCATTTCAATCTAAATTCCGGCTATTGTGGATTAAATTAAGGCAAAATGCCACTTACGTCTAGTTGCCAGTTTCATATCATAATATGTTCATAGTGGACCAGCAGTATTGTAACCGCCGGTCCGTTTCCAAAAAATATTAGGTATAAGTTACCTCAGGTGTTGCAACAAATTTTTTATTTTACTCTTATATTATAACTTCAGTTACATTCTACATGGAGTGTTAAAAATAAATACACATATGCGCCGTCTATGAATTCATATGAAAAATAGAAGTACATATTTATTTTAGTTTGGACGTCAACTGTAATCAGCAGTTACCTACGAAACACGGAACGTACATGTGCCCGGCATAGCTTGTGATTAGAATCACCTAAGCGCGCTTCGAAATTCTAAATTTTGACGAATTTTTAGACAAACTTTCGTTAAACAGATTAATTTATTTCATACGATTACTGATATTACAAAAATGTGTTCGAAAGACGTCAATTGGAAATCGTGTCGATTATTGTTTAGTAAAATGAAAATGTTATTTTTGAAATAAATAGCTAAATATTTTATCTATTTACGTGAATTTCGATTCTTAATTGATTAAGTTTATTATGTATACGTATCGGAAAGTTCATGCAACTTGCCTTAGGGCAAAAAGCTTTTTTACTACTTACATCTAGTAATTTATTACTTTATAACATCCTAAAATATTATTGGCCTACGAAGAGTGGTTTATTTATAAAAAATCATTAAACTTAGTCGCTTTAGGTTATTTACACATATCGGTAAGTCCATGCAACTTCCCAATGTGAAAAGTCACTTATACCTGGTTTTGTATTTTAAAATAATTTTTTCTACTGTTTTATCATAAGATGAAAAAAATAGCTATGGTTTCACTTTCACTTCGAATATAAAGACGCCACAACCTAAATGTAGAATAATGTTGCTTTTGTCAAACAATTTGTATTACTTTAAGATTTCTTCTCATAGCTTGTTTTAAGCCAATGGCTATATATCTAAACAGTGGTCGGGGAACTTTTGGAACAGTTACCCCAAAATGTTTTTGTGCAACTTCTCATTACCCCACAAAAAAAAATGTAGTCTATAATTGGAATCTGTTTGCAACATATTTCTGTATAACCTGCCATAACCCGCACATCAACGGTTTGCTACATTGTTTGTTACTTCTAAATTTTGAAAAAGGCTGAAATAAGTGGTTTGAAGAAGACAATAAGTAAAAGCTATATTCATTATGAATAAATATATTTTTCACGAAAATCCTACTAATACATGAATTAACTAGTGGTGTACTTTCCGCACCGTGACGAAATTTTCGAGGAATTTTAAATGTTTCCAATTAGATTATTATAAATACTGTAACATTGTATAATATTCATAAGATATATATAAGCTGAATCTCAAAATTAAAAAAAAATATTTATTCGAAGTATATAAGTGAGCTTTAGAACTTTAGCCAGAATTAAAATTAATATCTGAATTATTTTCGATATACAAAGAAAGAATTTTTGAAAAAAAAATTGAAATATTTTTCTTTCCCAAATGTAAATGTTTTGTCAACACAAACAGCAAGTCTTTTTAATCATTTAAACTGCCAATTTTGTGCATATAGCTCTGTATCTTCTAAATGGCTGGACATGCCTTTGCCAAAACATAATCACTACTTCTCTCAATCATTACAAATTGAATGTTATTTGGATCATTCATATGGGATACTGCGTTCTCTTAAAATCTCGATTTCTATTTTCTGCACTCTTTACTCCGTATCTCCGTAACGGCTGGACCTGCCTTTGCCAAATACTAATCAGCATATCTCCTTATCAATAGGAACCGAATGTTGAATGAATCATTCAAATCGGTTCATCCGTGCGCTGGAAAACGTGAACGAAAAAATGCGGACACACAAAACACACACAAACACACATCCATTTTTTCTGAGGTATGGCAAAATGTTCAAAAACCTCTGAAACGTGAAGAAATGCAACATTTTTCATGTTTCGTTTTTCGGCCCATTCCCATAACTTACCCTACGGGAAGTTAACAATAATGCCACAAGTGACTAAAAAACACGCACACATGTAATGTAAGAACATTACGATTTGGAGAAATGATGTTGCTTCATCTTTGACACAATTTCTTCAAAATTTCATGTCTCCTAAATATGCGAGATATGCAACCCAGGAAAAGTTTTTAAAATTT